TGGATGTGCAGCGACGTGAAGGGCTCCACCCTGATCATGTAGTGCATGACGCCGGCAGCGTTAGAGTAGTGGGTGCCATAATGGAACCTGTCTATGGTTCCTGTCGGGTCTTCAAAACTTTCATACCTGACGGACACATTTAATGTGTTAGTTAATGCTCTCAATGATCAAGATGCTCGTCAGAACATTTGGATGTTAATTCAGTACGAGAGTGAAACGTACTTTTCTCTAACCGCCTTTGCGTTGCGTTCATTAAGCACAGCGACTGGTTTTGACAGGTCCCTGAATACCCGAGGATCAGAAAGGTCCAGCTCCTCTGAGGTGTAGTCCGCTAGAATCCAGGGAAACTGAACAAACGGCCACAAATGATTCAGTCAGAATGGAAATGAAACGAACCAAGAAAGCAGGCTTATGGGTTTCACAGCTGTACAGTATTGTACTGAGTGATGAACGTACCACTGGGTACTGAGCCAGGTTATTGTACGTCCTGCCGGCAATCGTGTTGAGCTGCATCAAGTAGTCAAAGTTGGAAATCTCTCGGTTCACCCATTTCTGTGACAAAACCAAGACACAAATCCTGTGAGCTCATTCTACTCAATGTTACCCAAGAACCCTTTGTTCTCTGCAGACAGAGCTTGATGTTCTCTCATGTGAGAACATTCATATTTTTAAATGAAATAATATTTCAATGATTTTTTCCTCAGTGGTAAAAGACACTGTTGGGCTTTGGTCTTTTAGAAGCTGCAGAGTTTGTGTAAGAAGGCTGATACTGTTACTGAGTCCTGACCTGTGTGAGTCCGGAGGCTTTGAGGAGCTCCTGAGGAGAGCGGGTTTCATATAGGTTGAGGGATCGCAGCAGTAACATGCGGCTGTAGACTTTGTTTCTGGCCTGTAATAAAAACACAGTGTTAGTATCCTACTTTTTCCTTTCACTAATTTACTTGCTGCTCATAGAAAATAACACTTGTGTGCCAGCACCTCTTTTTTAAAGTTGAGGAAATAGTTGGTTTGGTCAATTAGGAAGATTTCCAGAGCTGAGCGCCGCAGGTTATAACGTCTAAGGTGGACCTCTCGGATTTGCGACAGAGGCCATTTGAAGTCATGACCCACTCCTTTGGGGGGGAAAATGACACATCAAGCATTAAGTCTGTTCTGTCTTTCTCTCTGTTTGGCCTCCACCTCTCTCTCTCTGTGCTCACCTTCCTCCTTCTCCTGGCTGCTATCATAGAAGTAGATGTGCTGTGTGGTGAGTTCCAGGCGGCCGGGAACCACGTCCACTATCGTCACCAGCTCACAATCCTCCCACAACACCAGCTTCTCCTTCTGGCCCGCCTCATCTGCTTCAACCCTGCAGGAACCAGAGTGGGATGTTGCTTAGAAAGCCTTTCAATAACTCAGCACATCTACACGTGAATGTGTTCTGTTGATCGACAGTCATTATTTGGTGACTGACTGGTTGTTGGCAGCAACAGGATCGTCCTCTGGCAGCTCCAGGATGTCATCTTCCAGGTCGCTAACTTTGACTTGCTTCACAGCCTCCAGCAGCAGAGACTCTGGGTTTAAACGCTGCTGATGGACACCTGAGTAAAGCAAGTGAGACGGGTGGAAATTAAAAACTGAGGCGGAAAATTAATATTACGCAGGCCATCAAATGACAAAACTATACTGGGTTAGCTCAGCTCTACAGATTTATGTATGCAATTTGTTTTTGGGGTTCCCATATAACCGTTCATATACTTTGTCTGGGCAAAAATGCAAATTGGAAGGATTTATTAT